GTGTGTGTGTGTGTGTGTGTGTGTGTGTGTGTGTGTGAGAGAGAGAGAGAGAGAGAGAGAGAGAGAGAGAGAGAGAGAGAGAGAGAAGCTCTCAGGAAGGAGAATTTTCTAGGCCACAGTACAAGCTGTGCCCCAGCCTGAACTGGAGTGAGTGGTGGAAGCTTTGGTTCAGGCCTTGCAATCCACAAGTCATGGGGCTGTGGGACAGTCCCTGTTCTCTGAGGTCTCATTGGACCTGTTCCAAGACTTTAAATGCTTCCTTACAAATTAAAATGGATCTTCCTGACCATATCTGATGTTCACCCATCTATATAGCTGGCTGCATCTTAAAACAGACCTGCGGAGCTTGGCAAACTCCTAATGACTGGCCAGACTGCAGACCAATCAAATTAGGAGGTTTTAAGGCTCCCCAGGAAGGCTCTCCAGGTGACCCCCATGTGTGCCCTACAGGAGTGCCCAGCAGACTGAGTGTATGCATGAACTGCTTGGGTGTCAGAATGCAACTTCCGATTCTGTAGGAATCTATGCAGCCCTGGACTGGACAGTCTAACCAGCTACCAGGACACGTGGTGATGGGTATGTCGGTACATGAGCCACATGAGGAGTGGCAAGGCTCGTGTGGCAAGGACTATGAATGTCCCAAAGTGTGTTCCAGTGGGAAAGAAAAACCTCCCTGACCAAGTCAGTGCAAACACTGCATGCCTTCCCAGGCCCCTTTGATGGTCCAGAAGGGCTTGGCATGTCACAGTTCTGAAGGGCTCTGCATTGAGGAAGCCTGTTTGCTCCCTGGCCATAAAGGACTCCCACAGAGCCTAGTACAACCAAGTGCCCAGGAAGTACCTGGTGTCACATGGTGCTTTTTATGTGTGCACTTTAGGGACCAGCTGAAGGGTCCATGGGGCACTGGAGGTGTAGACAGTGGAAGGTGTCTGAGTCAGAGGGCAGGCCCAGGCTGAGAGGGCTTTTTTCTGTACCTCTGGGGTAGGTAGGTGTTCATTAGACAGTACAGCTGTGGGTGTATGGGCTGAGACCCTGGTGGGGAGGCTGTTAGAGCTTGGGGTTTCCTGTGAGCAGCAAGAGGCAATTGGGGGCTCAGCATATGGCCCAGCTGGGGTTGGCAGCCCAATGCTCTTTGCTTTCATCATATGGGGTAACACTTTTGATGTGACAAAATAAAAACAACCCCCACACACCATCCTGCCACACCTGAGCCTGCTGGGAGGGTTCCAGGAGATCCAGCTGAAGCCCTTTCGGCACTAGGCAGGGTGCAGCAGGATGGCACCCATTTCACAGAGAAGCCGAGGCTGGGAGCAGAGCCTGGTTTGCTCAAAGTCTCACTGGGAAGAGAAGGCTGTGATTCAGAGCCAGGCTTTTCTGATTCACGGGGGAACCCCACCCCTCCCCTCACAGATGACAGACAGTGTTGGCTGCTCCCTACAAGCCAGTCCTGAGTTAAGCACTTTAAATACCCCCTTTTTAAAAAACCAAGATATCACACATGGGTCTCTAATGGGCTTCCTTCTCTATCTGACCCAAAGACTAATTTTTTTTTCTATTATTTGTTTTGAGACAAGATCCTGCTACCTAGCCTAGGCTGGCCTTGAACTTTCCATCTCCCACCTCAGACTCAGTGCTGGGATTACATCCAGCCCAAAGACTGATTTTTTTTTTTTTCAGTAAGCCCCTATACCTGAACTTGACGTGCTCTTCCCCAACCCCAGTTAGGCCTTAGATCCTTGTCCTTCCTAGCCTAGGTGGGCAGGGTCTGGGGAGGCAGCAGTCACCCATCCTGCCCAGGCTTCTGGTGGCTCCTGCCTTTCTTCTTTTTAGGAAGATGCACAGTGTGGGCAGAAGTGACCAGAAAGCAAGAATGAGCCCACAGTAATGACTGATTTCAAAGTATCTACATGGTTATGTCCTGACCTCACCCCCTTGTTCCCCAAAGCTCTGGGAATCCTAAGAAGGCACAGCAAAGGTCCAAGTAGCTCTGTGCATAGGACACAGAGGACACTCCAGAGCATGGGCCCACCTTCCGGGTGCAGGGAAGGGCTGCTTCTGGTTGGCAGAGATGGCTAGTAAAGCCTGCTGGGACAGGGGAACTGCCCCGAAGAGCACAGCAGAGTCAGCATGAGCGCAGTCTGGGTGAGGGAGGAACACCGGCCAAACCTACAGGTGGTGGGGGCCTTGTGGAGACAGTAAGAAAGTAATCAGGTAGGAGGCAGGAAGCTGCGGAAGGGTTCTGGTCAAAGGGCCTGCAACAAATATTCACCAGGTCCTAATATGCATCAGGCCTTGAGGCATAGAGATGAACCAGCCTTACTACCTGAAGCTCAGAATCTAGTGACTAGTAAAAATAAAGAAATCATTGTAATCAGTTGAGCATTTTATCTCTATTTTATGAATGAGGACACTGGCCTCAGAGAGGTTTCATAGTTTGTCCAACACCACATAGTCACCCATCCCAGAGGCAAGATTTGTCCAATACCACATAGTCACCCATCCCAGAGGTAGGATTCCACTCTCACGGCACCTGCCCAGCTCTATGTATTTGTAGACTAGGTTTATAATGAGCTGAGGGAGAGGGACTTAGAGAGGGAAGGACTAGGGTAATGACACAGAGGAGGGATTTAAGCAAGATTAGATTAGAGAGGGCAGATTGAGCCAAAAGTTAGCACAGGGGCTGTCACAATAGGCAGACAATGATAATAAGGGGCCACTGGGACCAGGATTGTCACATTGAGCTGCACAAGGTTTGCACTGCATTAACTCACAGGGCTGCCATTCCCATAGATTAGAACACTAGTTCCTTCTTGAAGCTGTGTAGCACACAGTCTCCAGGGAAATGGATAGAAGGAGGGACAAGACACACAGGATTGGGAGTTTGGGGACAAGCCTTGGGGCCTCTGAGTAATAGCTGTCAACCAAACCCACACTGTTATCACAAATTTTATCTCCTGGGGAGGAAGTGGCAGCTAAGCCCCAAAAGTATTGCACACCACACTCCAGGCCAGTTGCTTTTGCATTTCTGCAACAAAGGTTCTGGTACTTAAAGGCATCTCAAGAACCAATAAGTTTGGGACGCTGCCTCTACCCAGATGAGAGGTCCCTAAGGTGCCTGGGGTCATTTGAAGTCGTGAGGAATGATGGGCAAGATGGCTCAGTGGGTAAAGGTGTTTGCTACCAAACCTGATGACCTGAGTTCAATCCCTAAGACCCATATCCCATATGGTAGGAGAGAACTGACTCCTACAACTTGTCCTCTGACCTACACACACACACACACACACACACACACACACACACGCACGCACGCACACACACTCACTCACTCACTCAATCAATCGATAAAACAAGTAAAACAAATAAATATCTATAATGAAGTCCCAAGGCCAAGAAGCCCAGCTCATCTCCAAGCTCCGGCACTTTTAACAATCTGTCCCTCTGTCCCCTGCCCCCCAAAGGGAGACAGGGGGGGACAGGTCTTCAGGTCAGGGCCTCTGTGTCTAGGTGATGCCAGGAAGGTGGGATAGGGTGGTGTAGATGGTGGGGCACACTCTTGTAGTCCTTTCTCCCAGGCTAAGGCAGAGGGGTAAGGAGAGACCTGGGATATAGAGAAGCTGTAGGAGACGTGGGCAGGAATTAACTAACAGGGCCTGGGATCTGTATGAGTTATGGGTGACAATTCATGCTCTGCAGACTGTATCTCTAACCCCTTCCCTTGGACAAGTGACATAACTGTTGCCTGAGTCTCAGCTCCTCACAGTGAAATGGGTATAAAAGATCAATTAGTCTAAGTAGAAAGAGAGGGTGGTGGTCAGAGGGGGTACAGCACCTGGCTGACACTGTCAACACTCCAACCACTAGCCCTGCCCCATGATTCACTCTTCCTGAGACCTGGCCCCAAAGGAAAGGCACTCTATGCTGAGACTGTAAACAGCAGAATGACAGAGATGCAGAGGGAGAAGAGATGGGAGGGGGTGAGGAAGAAGAGGAAGGAGGAGAGAGAACAGCAGCAAAAATGTGTGGGTACTTGGTAAGGCCAGGCAGCAAATGGACAGAAAGGTCCCTGCCCTGCTTCTCTCAGGGTATCATTGAGATCCATTGAGATCTCTTGGGGCAGGGGGTGGAGGCAATGGGTGACCCCCGTCAACTTCTCCCAGAGAAGAAAGGAGGCAGTGGCCTGGGGAGAGGAATCCACAATGCTGATTACAAGAAGCCAGGCCAGGACCTCTGGGGTGGGTATAGAGTGAGGCCCCAAGATAGGGAACCTCATTTCTGGAGCTCAGGGCTGGGCCAGCCCCATACTCTAGCAATGTAGTCCTTGGATCAGGCTACAACATGGAACAGCTGTGGTCCACCTCTATAGAGGGTGCTAGCTAGTCCCAGGGGATACTAGGCACCAAGCTTCCAACCTTCAAACTCCTCTTCTTTTTTTTCTTTTTGAAACAGGGTCTCCCTGTAGCCCCAACTGGTCTGGAACTCACTATGCAGACCAGTCTGGTCTCAATCTAACAGAAATCTGCCTGTCTCTGCCTCCGGAGTGCTGGGATTAAAGGTCTGGGCCACCATGCCCAGCAAAACTCTCATTCTTTACCCAGAGCAAAGTCCTTGCTACCAAACTATATTCTTGAGTAGGTCAAACACACCCCCATCCTCCCAAGAAGCCAGCCTTAGGGACACAGTGTCCTGTGACCCTGCTGCCTGCGGCCAGCTCCACCCTCTAAAAGCTGACTCTGGCTGGGGATGTAGCCCAGTTTGTAAAGTGCTTGTGTAACATGCACAAAGCTCTGGTGTGATGGTGAACACCTGTAATCCTCAGGAGGTAGAGGGGAGATCAGTTCAAGACTATCCTTGAATGCTCACTTCAGCAGGACATATACTAAAACTGGAATAATATTGAGAAGATTAGCATGCCCCTATACAAGGATGGCAGGCAAATTCATGAAGTGCTCCATGTTTTTAGTAAAAAGTGCATACCTTACCAAAAAAAAAAGAAAGAAAGAAAGAAAAAAGACAAAAAGATCATCCTTGGCTACTTAGTGAGTGCCAGGCCAGCCTGGGCTACATGAAACCTTGTCTCAAAAAGGAAAATAGGGCTGGAGAGATGTCTCAGTGGTTAAGAGAACTGGCTGCTTTTGTAGAGGACCCAGGTTCGATTCCCAGCACCCACATGGTGGCTAACAACCATCTGTAACTCCAGTTCCAGAGGAATCCAATCCTCTCTTCTGGATCTCCGTGGGCATTGCACACATGGTGTACTTACATACATACAGGCAATATACTCATATACATAAAATAAAAATAATAAAATATTTTTTAAAAAGGGAAATAAGAAAAACTAGCTGCCCGTGGTGGCAGACACTGTTGGGGTCTAGTCTCATCCCCATGGCAACAGTTGCTTCCCTGCTGAAGACTTCTCTACTCTCTTCCCAATAAAGTCTCTCCTTCCTTAATCAGAATTCATTGTGGATTTCTTCCCCCTGACATCTGTAAAATTATTTACAATAAAGACACATTCACAGTGGGACTAACAAGATAAAAATAACCCAAAGAGAAAAAGAAAGTCAATAATTATATTAAAAGATAGACTGATTCACAAGTCTTACTCGGGGAAAGCTCAGGGTTAGCTGGAGTGACCCTCATTATCTGACAGCGGATTTACTTTGGTCAGGAAAGACCTGGTGCAAAATCCCAAGAAGTATGTACTGACCAAAAAGTACAAATCTTAATGGTTCCAGTTCTCAGGGAGTCACAAAATGTTCCTCCCATTCACGTCCACTTCAGCAATGCCTCCACTGGAGAGAGGGAAGTGGGACATAGGGGAGGATCTCACAGGTGAGACTCAAGCACGCTTCCTGACCTGGAATGTGATAGCAGACTAGAGAGTGGAAAACCTCAAGGAGGCTCTACTGTGTCCCAGATGGCTGACTGCCCCATGTTACCTGGGCTGAGCTCCTCTCACCTGTAGAGTTAGGAGACAGCTTTCCAGGTAGGGAAGGCACCACCTCCTACCATTGGCCCAATGCTGGTGGCAGTTGCTGTGAAGCCGCGTCATCAGAGCAAAGCAGATGCTCAGTCTCCCACTCTGCTGAGCCAAGAGACCTGGTTCAGGCAGTCAGCAAGGTATGTGTGTGTGTACAAAGCTTGGGCCTGGGGAACAGACTGAGGCAGGACCTGAGGGGATCAGAATATACCCCAAACATGCCACTTTGACATAGGATTATTTTGAGTTAAAGGAAATAGAGAAACAGCAGGCACCAGAAACAGCTCACTGCTCTCCGGGTGTGTGGGAAAGCAGAGCAGACATCTCCCTTCATAAAGAAGAGCCAGGCACCGTGGCTCCCGCCTGTAGTCCTAGTCCTTAGGAGACTGAAGTAGGGGATTGCTGTGAGTACATGCCTAGCTTAGGGACAGAGTAAGAACTCATCTAAAAAGAAAAGAAACCATGAATTTGTAAGTTTGTACCAGGAAGTAGAAAAGGAACAGAGGATATGGATCTACATAACAAATTTAAACAACCTCACCTGACCGCATATCCTAGTTCCCTTCCCACAATTTGCTGCCAGGAATCCAACTGCCCCTTTGTCTAGTCACTCCTCTAGAATTCATTCCCCTTCTTTAAACTGGTATATAAGCCCCGAGGTTTAAGCACCTTTTTGGATTTTCACTTATTTTCCATGACTCTCTATGCATAAAGAATTTAAAACATCAGCTGGGTGTGATGGTACACACCTGTAATCCTAGTACTCAAGAGGCAGAGGCTGGAGGATTGCAGTAAGTTCAAAAGTTCAAGACCAGTCTGATCTACATAGAGTTCCAAGCCAGATAGGGCTATATTGTGAGATTCTGTTTCAGAGAGAGAGAGAGAGAGAGAGAGAGAGAGAGAAAGAAAGAACTCAATTAATAAAATTTATATTTTATAGGGCTAGGTGTGGTGTCACATTTTTAATCCCAGCACTTGGGGAGACCCTGTCTCAAAACAATTTTTCATGCCTATTTTTCCTGTTAATCTTTCTTTTGTCTGTTTATTATTCAGGCTCCAGGAAGAAGACCTGAGCAAGTACAGATAATAGTCCTTCTCCTCTATAGAGACAGTTCTGCCATTCAGGAGGTACCATCTCAGTGGTAGAGAGCCTTCCCTACCATGCCAGAGGCCCTGGGTTCAATCCCAACATGTCCCATCTCACCCTAAAACAGTTATGGTATGTCATATAACTTCTAGCCATTTTCTTTTTCCTGGTCAGGAACAAGAATGTGGGAAGATCAGGGTAAGAGCAGGTGTTTTCTTCTGAGGGCATGTTTGAGTATTTTTCCTCAGCAGGTACTGTCCCCTGTGACCAGGCCCAGGTCGACCTGACAAAGGTCAACCAGAGCTGAGTTTCCTAGTTCAGTAGGAAGCAGGTGAGAGGAAGCCTGGGATACAGGATTGTCCATCAGGGAGGTCAGCACCCTTGGGGCAAGAGATGTGCACTCAACCAAGATAGATCTTATAATCTATGCCCTGTGAATGGAAAATTCCAGCATTTTCTAAACACCTTCTAGGGTGCAGTTCATGCATTCCTGTGAGGAGCACACCAGTTATGACTCCCAGTTATCAAATGAAAACAGTGAAGCTAAGAGAGGTTAGGGGCTTGGTTATCAATCCAACTAGTATTAGACAGGATCAGGAGGTAAACCCAGGATCCTCAGAGCCCAAAGCCCATCCTCTCACCAAGTTTAAATTCACACTTTGAAACTTAGCATAGTGGCAAACACCTATAGCATCTACTTTGGAGGCTGAGGCAGGAGGATTGCTCAAGCCCAGGAGTCTGAGACCAGACTGGGAAACCTAGGGAGAACTTCATCTCCAACAAACATGAATTAACTCTTTGCCTCCAAGGCCAATCAAGTAGGCTTAGACCTACCTACTTCTGAAGCCAAAGGTTTTAAATGGGTTTATAGGCAATGCCTCCTGATTCTCAGTCAGGTCAGCTGCCTCTTCCTGCATCCGGGCAGTAACAGGGCCTGGCTTATGGCAGACACAGTGTCCCCCAAGAGTCTGCCCAAACAAGAGGTGCAGGGAGAAAGCAGATGAGTGACAGAAGCAGGAAGCTGAGCACCAGTCCTGGCAAAGAATCTGTCTTGTCTGTCACAGTAGCAGGGATGTGGAAACAAGAACCTGGCAGGCCTCACCACATGCCAGAGTGACAGCCACTGCTAGAAACAGCACTCTGGTGGATGGAGGGAGAGGGAGGAGGCAAGGAGGGACGGCTCCAGCTGTGTCTATGGCATTTAAGAGTGAAGCCAGAAAGAGGGCCTGCAAGTCACAGTGTGGCTGGTGAGGCCAGGCCAGCAGCAGTGCCACTACCATTAGAGCTGCTGAGAAAGGCAGGGGATTCTGTGCTGGAGAGAGTCTGAGAGCCTGGGGCATAGCCAGGGAGAAGCTCCGAGCCTCCTCCCAGTATTTTTTTTTTTTTTTTTTTTTTTTTTTTTTTTTGTAAAGTGGCTGTTTTGC